ACTGACAGCTTGTCACGAGCTTTAGAGTCGTAGACAATCTGCAAATCAAAGAAACAGACTGCAATTACAAGCATGACTCTTTATAGTACCAAGCCTATGCACTACTGGATATCACAGGGTTTAAAAAATGTAACAAAAAACCTATGTCGGTCAAGACGACTATTCGACATATATTCCAACGATAGAATGGATATATTTTGCTGTATTTGATGATAAGCAGCTCGAAAAAACAGGAATATAACCTGAACGAGCCACAAGGTCGCTTACATTTCTGGTATTATGAGATATAAAAGAGGGTATATACAGGGATTATAAATACGTGCAAGCGAGTCTGTATGGTTGGTTCATGTTCAAGTGCATGTAAAAAGCACATACCCCAACCTCTTCTTCCTCTTCTTCGCTACTTGACTCCTCTTCCTCTGCCTCTTGCAGCCACTTCAGAAAAACAGATGCCTTGTCGTGGATCTGCTGGGAGAACTCCTTTGACACGTACTTCTTAGAGACCTTCAGGAACGAGTAGGAACCACACATGACAAGGAAAGGTCACACAAGCACACGTATAAACTCAACAATGGCAGCAATGGCTGTATGAAAACTATAGCAGTGCATATAGGATAACAGGGCTTTCACTTTGGTGTCATTGCGCAGATAAGATTTCTCATTGGCTTCAGTTTGAATGACATAGGCAAATACATGTCTACTGCAATGAAAATTAGAATGTGACACACCGGCATGCCATACTGCATGCAAGATCTCTTTTAAGGATACTCTCAACCTTTGAGCAAACAAAATTTTCGCCACAGGTTAAGCACAATATGTACCAAAATAGCGCATCAGGATTTTTCTTTAAGTTTCATATTTACTGAGAAAAATGAAAAAAACTGCCTAAAAATAAAGTTATGTGTTAAGATTAAAAATTTTAGCGAATAAAGAAGCATAACGAATAAAATACGACACTTAATAACAATCCCTGACGCGCTTTTTTACAGCAATATGTTACCATTAAAACGAGTGTAAAATTAAATTAATCCGATTTGTAATCAGAGAAATATCCATTTATACATCGGCTACTATGTCAGAAATCGAAACGGATAAATCAGCGTTTTTCTATTTTTCACAATGATCGACCGCCTGTGTGCAAAATGGGTGAACGTATGTGAAACATCTACTGTTAGTACTTACTGTGACATATCCATGACTAACTGACACCACTAAATTGGTAATATGTTCCATGCACCTTGAGAAATTGTGAGAAATTACGAGGTTACCACCGCACTTTCATGCAAAATGCGCGTACGATGTGTATTGCTATGTGTCAACAAACACGCGCCTAAACGCAAGGTGTGTAACAAGGGAAACAGGGCTATTTTCGGTCGCGCGGCAATTTCAACTATCACTGGCAGATGACAGCTGTAGGAGGGTTGATGCTGAATGATACTAGCGTAGTGAATATCATGAAAATTCTGGTTGTATCATGTCTCTGACGTCATCAGTGACGTCAGCTGCTGCTCACTACACGTGTACGCGGGCAATCAAAACGCTCTAAAAGTTCATATGTACCGTTATATGGAGAAATGAGCATATACAGAGGTGGCACATAGTGTTAGCCATCGAATAAAGTTAAAAATAAAAAATCGGTAAAATTTTGCCTAAAACCTTGAGAGTATCCTTAAAGACAATGCTGTATACAGTCTGCACGAAAAACTTCCACCCTCATTGGCCCAGCGGGCCTGTAGAAATGTATAATTCACTGGCCCACACTAGGTTTTACAGGCCCGAATCAATGATCACCATATTTAAAAGAGAAACAGAACCGGACCGGAAACCGGAAGTTGTTGCGACGTCTAGCGGCGACAAACACGCATGGTGTTGACTAGTTACTTCCCCTACTTAAGATCGGGAATATGATGCCCTATCGGTAAATATCGGTAAATTTTCATGCAAAATATCGGGAATTTCGGTAAATTCTCAGACTGATCATCACATAAAGAAGCTGAAATATCATTAATAGACCATTTACTCCATTTTTTTCCACTGGCCCATCGGGCTTGTTCATTTACCAGTTTCATTGGCCCCACGGAAAATTTACAGGCCTCGGATACCGGGCCAGTGGTTAATTTCACAGACTGTGTAAACTCTAACTAACTATATTACCCTCACTACTATTTGTCTGTGGTTTAGCACGAGAACAGCATTCATTTGCTAAGTGTATTATGGATTAAGGGATCTAACAAACCCAACTAAATTGCCTACACTACTGCGAAAAGAAACAGCACTGAAAACTAAACTGATATTTTCATTAGCTAAAACTTAAATCATTTTCATTAGCAAAATATGGTTTTACTCGTTTCAGCTGACAGCATCCACCACATTGCCACAACACAAACAAAAGCTGACACAGCAAACAGCGCACCTTCTTTCCCCATTCAAGAATAACATCCTCCTCCACAATGTCAGTGTCATAGAGCAGCTTCAGCAGGTGGGCAACTTTGGGCAGCAGCTCGTCACTGTACTTGTGGACAAGTAGCTCAAATCCACCCAACAAGTACTTCTGCGCCTTCTTGTTCTCATGTGTGCACTGAAAAAGCAAGATTTGCGTATTTTGGTTCAAATACTTGCAATCAAGTTGTCACAAAATTACTTCCACAATTCTGACAAAAACCTCGACAGTCTATGGCAGCCTGCTTGAGACGTACCCTGAGGAAGAACAGCCTGTACTTTGGAATCTGCTTAATCATGTCGCGGTCAAACAGCAGCTCTGCGAGCACCAGGGTAGCCTTATCCCTGACGTCCAGTCTCTCAGCCTCCGTGAAGATGTCTCTGTCAGACCCTTCAAGAGTGCCAGCATCCACATGATCCTGTAAACACAGTCAATGTTTAACTACATATAAAACTTATTAAAAGAAATCTCACTCAAAATGCTGCAGCATCAGATCTTTTCAATGATATTTGATTGGTAACAACATATGTGGTTTTCGCCAGGCACAAAAAGCTATAGTAAGTATTTCAATAAAACTGGTTACCAACAACATAGGCTCTATAAGAAACATTTCTGTAAAGGCTTTACTGTTGCATCAGACCTTTCCGTTAAACATTGGATACTAACAGTACAGTATTATGCTACTGTGTATTTATGTTACTATAGTTCGACCATGTCTTGCAAATTCATTGCACGCACAGAACATGTCAAAGGTTGATACATGGCCGCAATCTGCGGAGGCAATTTGACCAAGTGGTTTCTAAATCTAAACGAGCTTGCGATACGCGCGCACACACAACTGCGAAAATTGATTTCGCTTTCATTCACCTTTGTGGCTGCTGCGGGACGACATACCTTCACGAACTTAAACAGTATTTCCAGGCGTTCTTCTTGGCTCTTCTCCATGTCGTCGTTCAGAGTGAGTCCCTTTGCACCAGAGGACAGCTCCTGCATGCGCTTGGCTACGGCATCTTCGCTGATGTCATCGCCCCAGTCTTCATCGTCATCTTCGCCTGCCGGGTCATGCTGATTCTGGCACGAAATCAAAATTAACGATTCACATCTCTGGCAAAGTGATCATCGCCACGATTACCATTATTTTCGGTGGGCACAATCGGCAGGTGTAGCACTTCTTTCTGATAGATGCTGTATTACTTACTTGCTCACAGGGCGTTTGTGGAGGGCTTGTAGGTGGGCTGCTCGAGCTTCCATTCTCCTTGTCCTTCCTTTTAGACTTTTTCTCCTTCAGCTTCTTTGACGGCGTATCCTTGTTATCTGCTGAAAAAGAACGTGGTTGATCGCTATGGTACGCAAGTATATGGAGATGGTAGCAATGTCAAATGAAGTGCGTGCCCCTAACTGCAACAGACGATATACTAGAACTAGACGGTGCCAGCCAATAACAATACAAAGGAAGAGATAGAAGACATAAATCACAAAATGGCCACCTTGCCAAGGCAAGCCGGAGCTTACCAGTAGTTCCATTCTGTGCGCTGGTAGGCGGATTCTTGAGAATAAATGTAGTCAGCTTGTGGCGCATGTCAATAGGGCCGTTGTAGCCGCACGCGATGCAACGCTGCGATATCATTTGCTTCTTTGCAAAAACCAACTGCAAAAGCACAATCGATCAGAAATGACCTGGCAGACAGGTCTGTGCGGATTCGGCAATTGCACTGAGATTTCACGTTAATTCAAAGACATGTCAGACACTATGACAATTGGAATAGCCGTTGAAAGCATTTTTTGCATGAGAATGAATCGCTATTCGTCGCCAACAAACGCACAATGACAGTAGAAAGCAAAACATTGAATAATTATTACTTAAAAAGGACCTCAACATTTCGATTACACGTCAAAAAGACAAAGGAGGCCGACATTAAAAAAATTGTATTAACATTTGAAACTATTAACAAAAACCACACCAGATTACGACTGCGCGACTCGATAACAACATATCAAAAATATTTACAACAACATTTTAAACACCAAAACGAAAATTGCAATCAGCATCCCGATTTCACGGCAGAGAGGGCGAAGACGGGCAGCGAGGCTGACGAAGACGCACCAAATTGAAATTGAAAGTGAAACTAAACGCACCAGGTTGGTTTCGGGATTGTCGCACTGCGGGCAGAGCACAAACTTGCGTATGAAGCCATCGAGCATGTCCTGCAGGCGGACGGCGTCGTGCGCGCCGTTCACGATGAAGCGCTCGTTCTTGTTGTCCATCGTCGTCTGCGCGCCCAGCTCGCAGCCAAAGAATTTCGTCGGATCTGCAACGTGGGAGTTCACGGCGCGAACGTCACCCGGTGCGCAGGCAGCGAGTTACTATGTTGTCACGACTGGGCGGCGTTCGGGAATACCCTCTAACACACCACCATAGTTTCATTGCCATCATTTTAGGAAATAATAGTAATATTATTAATACTATCAACCAGTGACTCATTCATTTGACAAAAAATGGCAGTTTGTTGTTAATCGTAATATGGTGTGCGGAAAATACGGTATATGCCACCGACATCCCAAATTTTGGGGAGATTACTACAGACTTTGATAGGAGTAGAAATTAACCGTTGAACATGGGATTCAAGCAGACTCCCTGCCCTCAAAAAGAGGGAGTCCGCAGCAAAATGAGTGAGTCCATAGTCTGAAGTTCAAAATTAAAGATTTGCTGAAAAAATACGGTAATTCCGTGAGACCGTGCTCTGGAACAAACTAGTTAGTATAGCAGAATTTTCAGAGAGTCACACGGACTCCTGCATATGTCATATCAGGGAGTCCGACAGTAAATCAGGGACTATTTAACTCCGGACTCGCATTAATTTCGCACCCTGCGTTACAGTAACAGTAAATGCTTACAGGATGGTGGCCTCGCAAGAGATTTTGCAATCTCTGGCATGTTGACAATAACAGTTTTGATTCCATTCCCTTTTCCTTCCACCTGTAATAAAAGTCATTAAAATAATAATCATAATCAGCAAAGATTTCAAACAATTTCCAGAATCGATACGAACACAATGAAGTGCAGATTTATTTGTAGGTAGCAAGTTTTTCTTACATACATTCGAAGTCGAAACAGCAAACCCGTAAATTATGAGTAATTCAAGAGCTCTTTATTCAGAATGACTGAAATAACTTACCTTGGCTATGATTTTAGGCATCTTATAGCGGTAGAATTGGTCAGGGTTACTGCGGTTGACATTGACTGTCGCCATGTTGGCTGTAATTCAGTGATAGTCCTACAGGGTGACAATTTCCGATTCTGATATCTGCAATTTTGAAGTATAAGCCATGAGACAAATGCATACAGTCACATTATAACTGCAAATACAGCACTACCTCTTCCAATAAAATGCCAATAAATAAAATACAAGAATATCATTATCGTCTTCCTATATGTCATTTAAATCATGACTACATTATTGCCTACTTTAAAAAATACCAAAGCCATAATTAATTTATCTCTTGCCATTCTACTCATCAATTTGTAATGGTTAGCATGCAGGGTGTAGAAAGCATCATACTTGCCTGTATAACAGCATTCATATCACAGTGTAAAAGTTGGGTCAGCTTATCTATGTATGGTGAATGCATACGCACACAACATAATTTTACTTCACTCCCAAAATAGATAGTCTGGCTGTCTGGAGTACAGAAAAATATGGACCATATGATCTATAGTGAAAAAGCTAGCCTGCTAATGTTGGTGTTATTATGTCAGTCAAACCTACTGAGACCAAGCACATATTTTAAGATATATGCAAAACCTCAAAGCTATTCAACAAGTTTCAGGAATTCTAGCATAAGAGATATCTCTCCTAGCAAACAAGTGCCGCAGAGCGACAGCGCTCACCTGACGGCAGGTGTTCTGATGCTAAACTCACTGGCAAACGAATGAAGAGCACCCTCCCATCACCGCGTTCACGCTCAGAGCATATATCTAGGATACTACTAATACAGATCTAAAATCTATGATAGCTAGGCTTTGCTATACCGGCCGTACAGTAATAAAGATACAGCTGTGTAACTTTAATGACTCGCTATATTAACGATGTTAATCATGGCATATGCCCGTTGAGCGCGCAGCCCCGTAGTGGTGCGATGGTGAGGGGGACGAGTGGTGATGGGAGAGTGGGGGCGAAGGGGGCGCGGTGGCAGGCGCGGCCTCTAATAGCAAAAGCCAGTTTGCCGCCGGAGATGCCGCGCCCCCGTGCCCCAAGTGTCATCAATAATCAGAAGACTGGCATCACCCTTCGTGCCCCCCGCTCATCAATCTCACTCACCATTGGCCAGTTGCCTGAAATCCAAGCGACTATTCAGCCGCCAGGCGCAGAAATTTCGCTCAGCTCGGCTGAGCTTAACACATCTGACCCAATTGCAGCGCTTGCCCAGGCAATAATTTATGATTAGAATAGCTGCCAAGTTCACCCCCATGCATGCGTAATGGCTGCCCCCCCCCCCCCCCCCCCCCCTGTGTTTTTGCCTGCCAACAACCGGGGAGTGAGCCACTTCAGGGCTTCTTATGACAGCTGTGCCGAATACAGCGGCTTGCTAACTCAGAGCTGCCGTATTACAGACTGCCTTTTAGAAAATAAATATTATTTTTAAAAGGAGGCGCCGTAAGCACCGTGTTCAACAAACAATTTGCCCTTTGCCCAATTGAACTGTGCAACTGCCCTAGCCTCACATCCACAATTTAGCGAAAAGCAGCTCAGCGTTCCTTTGTTTAACAGTCAACAAATCCATGTTTCAGACCTCTCCTGTCTTGAGGGTCGAAAGGTTATCCGCACATTACTCTTTCGCATGTCAGCCAGGGCAAGGGAGGAAAAAGAAAAAAAAAAAAAAAAAAAAATGTACATTTCATGCCTCCTTTCAATTAAAGCCATAAAAATGGCCGTAGGTCAACAGCTGAAACAAAAAAGCTTTTTCAATCACCTCTGTCAGACCATGTCCTCAGAAAATGTCTAAAAATCTGGCCCTGTGCCCACAGTTGACCTTTGAACCTGTGACCTCCAATTTCGGACCCACAGTGATGGCCCTTTTCCTACCATGATGCCCTAGACCACCGCACTATCACGCAAGCCTAGCCGCCCTCGCGGAGTCCATTTAAGATTTGTGCCGCCAAATCTGCATTTCCTCCCTATAACTTAAGTTAAGGAGGGAATGTTCCGCCTTCTTTTACACCTCTTGACCTTTGACCTTTGACCCCCCAGCCTCGACATCCCAACTCGTTTTCGAATTACCCCCCCACGTCCCGACTTTCGAATCTGTACGTTGAGCCGTTTAGATTTGTGCCCAACTGTTGACAGACGCACGGACGGCCGGACGGACGATCATGCGATTCTACAAGCTGCACCTGACTAGGTCAGATGAGCTAAAAAAATGCGACAATAATATGCAAGGAATTGGATAGGTACCAATTTCATCATAAGTACCTAGGATATTGAGACGTTAACGTCGTGGAAAAATGACGCCAGTGCCGCTGCTTCTCTGTGAACTTCATAAACAATGATGGTATGCTGGCGAAATATAGCCGATGCGTCTGATGTAGCCTAGCTGTATAACCAGGAATCCTCCTATGTGCTGCAACAACAAATAATTTTGGCATGTTTGACACAACGGTATACAACTTCTAGCCAGTTTTTGGAAATGCGGTTACGTAGATTATACGTACAGATGTACGTAGATCTGCATAGATTACATAGATTAGACGATAATGATGCTCGTTACATTAAAGGGGTCTAATGCACACTCGATGCATAAAATAATGTTACTATTGATATGTATGCAGCTGCATATGAATATTAATCTACCCGACCATACGATGACATACACTTGGCCAGATGTAATGTAACATCAGTAATATAACCTTCTCATTATTACAGGTTTTTTTTCTTAAAATCAATACAGAATCTCTTCAACAGTTCAATGAAAAATGTTATCAGAAACCCCGTGGCCTCCTCATTATTACAGCACCTCCACAGCATTGTATACTAGTGCCTGGAGAAAATCTCCCACTTGCTACTGCTGCCATCATTTTTTTACATTTCCGGCTACCTCCCCACGGAGTGCCCCGGTCTGGCATCTCTGCCAATACATCAGCTTCTATCACGTGCTGTATTGATCTGGGGCCTTCTGCTTACGCTTGCACTCAGTAGCAGCAGCAAAGGCAGATGCACTTGGCAACTGTGAGCTACAGCAGTGCACAGCTGCTGTGCCGACGAAAATGTCGACTCTGGCCCAAAATACTTTAAAAAAAGGTAGATTCCTCTAAAACAATTCAGGCAAACATGACATTTGAATGCTTTTTGTAGTTAGTGTGTAACATTGGGGTTCGCCATACATAATTTTGGTAGATCGTTCAAGCACCAAAATCAACTGTAGCTTATATTCCATTCCCATTTCAAGACTATTCGTAGACAAGCGGGAACAAGCGAGCATATGCACACAAGCGCACACAAGCACGGATCCACGCACAGATAAGGAAATACGGTGACACATAAGAAACTTAGACCAGTTTGCTCCCACTTACGCTGATAATGAGTACTAACTGATAAATATAGTCTGAACATGTCAGAAGTACAAGGCTATACAGGAAGAATTAAGTAGAGAATTGCATTCCATTAATAAATGGCTCAATGATAATAGTTTATCCTTGCATCTTGGAAAAACAGAAAGTATTATTTTTGGAACTAAACACAAACTCAGGGATAATCCAAAACTGGACATCAGATGTAATGGGGTGGCAATTGCACATAAAAATATAGTTAAGTATCTAGGAATAGACTTGGAAGACTCCATGAGTGGTGAGGTAATGAGAATTAAGGTTGTAAAAAAGGTTAACAATAGATTGAAATTTTTTTCAAGAAAAGCTAAGTAATTAAACACGGCATGCAAAAGATTACTAGTTTCTGCCCTAATTCAATGCACAAAATGAGGGTGATACTCCATTAGGAGTGTTCCCAACTTTAATATCAATAATGATTAATGATTAATGATTGATAATCCTAACCCTAACCCTAACCTAAATGACATTAAACCACAAACTAATATATGACCATATATATATATATGTTATTATGACCATTAATGACATTAAAGTTGGGAACACTCCTAATAGAGTATCACCCTCATTTTGCCTATGCAAGCAGTATATATGGTACAGCAGTCTCACAAAGCGCACAAGGCCTAAGCTGCAAGTGTGTCAAAATAAAGCCATTAGATGTGTTCTCAATCTAGGTACTAGAGCACACGTAGGTGCTAGAGAGTTCAAGGCTGTAAATTGGGTACCTGTAGAGTTCAGGGTAATGCAACTGAAGGTCAATAAGGTTATTAAAATATTAAATAATCTGGGCCTACAGTATATGACAGGTTTCATGTTAACGTCCGAAGTCCATAGTTTCAATACAAGGGAAGGTGATATGTCTATTTTTAAACCGAGGGTGGGAAGCAGTGGGAAAAACTCTTTTACTTATACTGCAATTGAAGCTTGGAACTCTCTACCACAGCAAGTTAGGACAAATTCTGTTTATTCTAGTTTTAAGTATAGTGTTAAGAAATGTCTGATGGAAAAGGTAGAAACATTACAGGCAGAGGAGTATGATTTCCGCTAAAAGAATTCGGTTGAAATTAGGCATAAGAAAAGTTTGTATCGTCTTACGAGAATGTACCATTGTATGACTGGTTAAAACTACAAATTTGTATATTTCAATAGTTAGTGCTGATAGTAGTGTAATTGTTAGATTCAAGGCATAGCAAAACAAGGACCACAATGTAAATAAGTGTGCTAGTCATGCTTTTTGTGTATATATATCCTTGGTAGTTATCCAATTTTATAAATTCAAAATTTTATTGTAAAAGTATGCTATGTATTGTATATGATGGATAATTGCCTAAATAAATAAATAAATAAATAAATAAATAAATAAAATAAACATGCTACCACATTTTTACAAGCACATTATGGTTAAAGGCTCGCATGTAATAACTGTAAATATGGCTTTCTAGACTAACAACCTGGCTATTAACCAACCGTTTATACAGAACAGAACCTATTTACAGCTACAGATATTTATATTAGGTCCTCACATACCGAGTTTCACGCACTTTATTTGAGGCCGAGTATAACATATTATACAAATAATTAATATACATAGAACATACATGTTAAGCATTACTGTACTATGCAATTCGTGTGCTTAACCAGGACCTTTACTCCTCACTGCATTGAAAATCACACATTGTTTGGAAACTATAATGGACATTGAATTTTTGATAAAATTACGTTATTATTGCTCTGAAGTTGTAGAAAATGTCACAGTTGTCTAAATCAGCTTTACAAATTACAGGCGACTGACGACAGAATGCTCAGTACAGGTGTTGATAGAATTACAGTAAAATTCCGCATATAAGAACCTCCAAGTTAGACTAAAAAGGTTCTTATATAATTGGTGTTTACTGGGGAATTAGGCTATTTAGGTTATTAAATAGGTTCTTAGTTTCTTTTAAGAAAATCAGGTGCTTATTGCTGGTAGAATATTGGTGTAGTTCATCGTTTATATAAAATATGCATATAATTATGTCTAAATGACTGCAATCTATACAAATACAAACCCTATTCTAGGTTATCTTATTTCTTTTTATGACCTTTATACCTAATAAATATTAAAAATCAAAACTATATTGTTTTAAAACACCACAAATATAATGAATAATAATTTATGAATTTTTAAGTGTTTACTTAATTTTATCAAATAAGAACCTGTTTTAAATTTAAGGCTAAAACAGGTTCTTATGTCAAGGGGGTCTAAATGGAAAATCTTAGCCCAACAGGTTCTTAATCACTTAGTTCTTCTATATATGCAGGTTTTTACTGTATCTAACACCTTTCATGTGCCATGACAACCCACTAACGTAAGTAGTTGATATTGATGTGGTTAGATGGCGTCAACCTCTCACTTCAATAGTTTTCTGCAAGTCAGCACCAATAACCAGTTCATTTTCTTCTCTTTTTGTTTGACGATTAATTTTCAAATATACCAGTGTAATTATGTGAGAGACATTTATACAAGTACATCTACTAGTGACCTGTGTAGCTCATATGAGCTTCGATCAAGAACCAAGAATTTATATGTACATTACCGAAAATAATGGAATAGGACTTGCATTCATAATTTACTGCCAATATCAGGACAGTTGGGGTGCATGTGGATTTATAATTGCTTCCAAATAAGTACTTGTAATGCCAAAATAGACTTCCATGTGTGTAACACACAACCTTCAATAACAAAATATTACTACTCAGGGTTTCTTCTGAGGGAAACTTAGACAAAGGAGGTAATGGCCAGTTTGGGAAAAACCACGCATGATGGATTCAAAGGCGTGCCTTGAAAAAAAGATAAAGGTAGGCCGTAGGAAAAGTGTAGATCCTGTGTCACATGACCCAATAAACGCACATGGCAATCTAAATATGCCAGAAGCCAGGGTTCGACACTAAACCCACGTCCGACCGACCTAGTCGGGTAAATGCTTGGTCCGGTCGCATACAACCAGAGTGCTAGTAGCCCGACTGGTCGTGTTAGAATTGGTCATAACCCTCTAGCTAGACTGGTTCGCGGCCGCACTGTTTGTCGCAGAGCATGTACATTGTCTAGCAGAGCGTGAGGCCGGATACCAGTCTACCCTTCGGCAAAAACAATGACATGGCTTGCTGCCAGCCACAGTAGACGATCGATAAACCGTGCGCTCGTGTATGCCCGTGGTAGAATATGAATGCTGCACGTGAACTCGGCCCACGCGCGATTTAAAGCGCGGGAAACAGCATTTATGAATTCATACGATGACACACTCTTATCTAAATAACGTTTTCCATAACAATGGTCTGGGTCTGGGCTAGTGAAAGTTAGGCCAAGGCTAGTGGTTTTCCTCAGTTACTAGCCCGATGGTCTAGTGAAATAAAAAGTTAATGTTGAACCCTGCAGAAGCACGTGGTGATCTATTTATTTTTGGGTTGACACTGTTTTGACAACAGCGGGTAAATACAGGACCATTTTCACAACGACGATGTTAAATTTGACAACGGCGGTGCGCCACCGCGCCTCTTATGTATAAGAAACCCTGCTACTATTATAGTACTATACATCATGCCATGTGACTTACATGTTACACTACTATGAATAAAACACATCCAGACGTCCCAAGTGTCCCGATCTCACCGGGATCGTCCCGGTGCAACATGCTGGTCCCGGTGTCCCGTTAAGAGTCTAGAAAGTCCCGGTCGTAACATTTTCCAGCCATATTTTTACATCAGTAAATTACTGCATTTGCCGTGGTTGTTGACGTACTTTGATTCCATCGAACAATAAAAGGCCACAAATGTCAAACACTTTTGGGTTTTTTTGCATTTGCATTTTGAATTTGCATTTGATTTTATATGCATACTTTATAAAAGATGGTGGTGCGCCGCGACAAACACATGTCACAGCCCGCCACAACTTATTTCCGCGCACCGCGAAAAAACGGCGATGGACCATCATCATGAGTGATCCCTTTCTTGGATTTTCCCAACTTGGGACCTCTGCACATCCCAATCTCACACAATATTGCCAGGGAGACTTGTATAATCAATTCACATACACTGGATGTTTTTCTGACTATATGAAATTTTGGCGCGTCAAAGTTTCTCAGCAATGCCTATGCAAAATATTCACAACCGATTCATCAATTTCATGGTCAGTTTGCCATACAGACGTCCACAGGCACTTGAAGCGTTTCAATAAAATATAATGCTAACTAAATACGAAATCTATTTACTACCAAATTCTTAATGTTTCTATACTCTCTTTCACCTATTAAATTGCCGACAGTTTCCTGTCAATTCCGTCCAAATCCTACGTGCAACCATATACGCTGCAGGCGCCATTGCTCTCGCAGCTCCACTGTTGCATGCTTACACTAATATATATAGCAGGTAGAAAAGCAGGATCACAAAATTCGCTCGACGCTTGCTGGATTTCACACTTTCACAGCACAAATACATATCCAACAGCTGCCTTCTTTCTTTCTATGTCAAGAACCGTGTTCACTTGTTATAAAAACATACTGTCTCTGTTTGTAACCGAGCTGTGTCACGCAAAATCTCACAAAGACTGACAAAATTCTCACGTTCGTGAACCTTGCCCAGTAATGTAAATGGCTGTCAGAATCAGGAAACACCTACCGGCGCTCTTCGTGACCTCATTCTTGCGCCGCAATGCTGCAACGTTCGAATGGAGAGGCTCGTACGGGAGTTGGAAAGCAGTGCACCGCCTGCGCGCTGCCTATAATCCATAGACTGGCACTCGCTCCCACCTCTCGGCTTAGCTTAGTCACTCGATGGGTAATCGAGGTGGGAGCGAGTCCCAGTCTATATAGCCCCGATTCTGACAGCCATTTACATTTCGGGGCAAGGTTCGCGAACGCGAGAATTACGTCAGTCTTTGTGTGATTTCGCATGACACAGCTCAGTTACGAACAGAGACAGTATGTTTTTATAACAAGTGAACACTGTTCTTGACATAGAAACAAAGATGGCAGCTGTTGGATGTGTATTCGTGCTGTGAAAGTGTGAAATCCAGCGAGCGTCGAGCGAATTTTGTGATCCTGCTTTTCTACCTGCTATATATATTAGTGTAAGCGTGCAACAGTGGAGCCGCGAGAGCAATGGCGCCGGCAGCGTATACGGTTGCACGTAGGATTTGGACAGAATTGACAGGAAACTGTCGGCAATAATAGGTGAAAGAGAGTATAGAAAAATTAAGAATTTGGTAGTAAATAGATTTCGTATTTAGTTAGCATTAGAATTTATATTTTATTGAAACGCTTTCAAGTGCCTGTGGCTGTGCAGACGTCTGTAACTAACAAATCAACATAAAATAACTAGTAAATATACCGTATACGGTTAGATTATTATATTTAGTGATTGTTCAACATCCAGTTTATTTAATTAACTTTCTATTGAATAGTTCTTACCTGTAGAAAACGGCATATAACTAGTCGGACACGAGACACAATGCTGCTGAAAAAAGCACCAGATGGCGAACGACGCAATAACAGTGACGGTGGCAAAACTGGACAAAAATCTGAAATAAAACAAGAAGATAACGAATATGATCAAGAATAGCACTGGTGCAAATCTAACACTATGTGATAACCCTGAAAATATTGTTTTACGTAAACTATCAAGTTCCTTTGCGTATGATTAGATATTAAACTGAATGTTAGCACTAACACTTCGCTGCCCAGAATGTTGCGTAAATTTTGGAAAGACCCGTATGTTAAAAGCACAAGAGCATCTTCTATATTTATTTCTATTTCTATTTTGTTTGTTCTTTGATGTGCAGAAAAGTGCAAAGTTATATTTGGTTATTTAAACAGTATCATTATAATGTTTTGACTATGTGTTTTATATACATGTGTCTATAATTTTATATGTTTATTTTTGCTATCACCACCATAGCTCACGAGTCACGCCTCACGGCTGCCTCGGGGTTATAAAATTTACGTAAATATTTAGGCCTAGCCTAGCCCTTTGCGCAACCACGCAGTTGCTCAGCTAAAGCCTACATAGATGTAGAGTCATGTACGACATCCCTTATCAAATTCGCCATACGTAAGTATAATGTTACGTAAAAAGGTCAATACGGCCAGTTATATTGTACCGGTACTACTATTAGTAGGGGCAATGCGTATCACCAATACTCAATAGGCAATACCATCAGGATCATATGTGAATCTTAATTGAGACTGTGGCGAAAAGTTCACGCCTTCCTTAGCTAGCTCAGTAGTTGTACCAATGGCATGCAGCTCTTCGCTTCGCCACATCATATCAAGAGCTAATAATACTTTAGAGGTATTATTAGCTCTTGATCATATAGATATTCCCACATGGTCGAACAGTATGTTTAAATAAATCTCGTGTTAAAAAAGCTGTTTTTACTTAGCTCATCCGTCATCGGACGTAGTCAGGTGCAGCTTGTAGAGTCGCATGATCGTCCGTCCGTCCGTCCGTCAACAGTTGGGCACAAATCTTAACCGCTCGACGTACGGTCACGATATTCGGGACGTGGGGACGAAATCCGAAAACGAGTTGGGATGTCGAAGCTGGGGGTCAAAGGTCAAAGGTCAAGCGGTGTAAAAGAAGGGAACATTCCCTCCTTAACTTAAGGTATAAAGAGGAAATGCAGAATTGCGGCACAAATCTAAACGGCTCGACCTAGGCTCGTGATAGTCGGTGTATAGCATCATGGAAGCCATCACTGTTCCGAAATTGGAGGTCACAGGTCAAAGGTCAATGGGGCACAGGGCAGATTTTAGACATTTTCTGAGGAGTGATTGAAAAACTTTTTTGTTTCAGCAGTGACCTAGCATTTTTATGGCTTTATTGAAAGGACCATGAAATGCTACTTTCTGCTGACATGCGAAGAGTAAGTGTTGGATTAACCTTTTGACCCTCAAGAGGAGGTTAAACACTGGATTTGTTACTGTTAGAAAGAATTGACTGGCGCTGTTTTGCTAGTAGAATCTATACATGCCTGGATGTATGAGAGGCTACAATGTCAGCAGTGAAACTTGCAAAGCTTCAATTTTTGTCTGAAAGAAGGGTTTATGCTCCTTAAATCGTATAATTCTATGCCATCTCTGTACTGTCAGTGTGTTACATGATAACGTTACTGCCACTGCAGTGGTACTGTGTAGTTTTTGCCTGCGTTAATTAGTCTACAGGTGGCCAGCCTCTATTTCAGCCTGTAGGCTTGCGTAGGTAATGGATGACGTGCTTATACCGTATTCTGCTTGCAAATAGTTGTGCTACTCGTACCGATGGAGCGTCAATCTTTAAGCTTGAGCAAACTTAACGTACGTGCCATCTCGTGCAACTTTCATAACGATCCAAACGAACATTCCTTTGAGAAGGTTCCTGATACCATCCCTGTGGCCTTCCACTGTTTCGCGTGTTGTGAACACATTTGGGACTAACAAGGGTTTACTAGAATCCACCACTCCACCACAGAAATCACCCAGCAGTAGAGTTAGATGAGCGCCTGTCGCGCGGCACTTGCTTAGGTTACTTCTGATGGTCTAAATTGTGTAGGTATATGAGTATGTACTAACTATAATAAATTAGCCGTCGGAGGCAAAACATACCGTAGGACTTCAATGTCATTTCTGAGTTATGTGATTTTTCACCTAATAAGTAGTAAAGAGGGCGATTTTTTTTTGGTCATAAATGACCTTTAGTAGTTATCCATGTGTCGATGTCTTCATCAATAAAACTGGCCAAAAGTGGTGTCTTTATGTGTTTATATTGCGTGTCCAAAAAGTGGCGGATTTCGCAAAATATCGTTTTTAGGAATAAAGACACCTGTATTGCTGTACCTGTATAATTAGGCCTACCTGTATAATCATGTAATTATATGTAAACATTCAGAAGCAAAGCAAGTTTTTGAATAGCAGTTTCATTTTCAGTAAAACTTGTTAATTTAATTGAGATAAAGTTAATTTTTATCTATTTAGCTATAGATTTTATGCAGAATGATTGGGTGTTTTAATATACCAATAATAAATTACCTATATAATTACTTACCTTACTGTAAGCTACCAATTTTCGTACTTCATACAGTGGATGGTTACTATGTCTGGTACGTGCACTGCAAACAGTGTATGTGTCTAGGCTCTATGGGAAGTATCTTTTTCAGATTTTGCGTGTATCAATTTCTATACAGCATAATTAATGTTGTATATTACCATAATTAATTACCTGAATTACTTACCTTAACTGTAAGCTTATCTGTCATGAAGAGAATTTATTTCAGACGAAGGGGCAGAAATCAGCTCAAATCGCCCCGTGTAGGGTGGCTTAAACAGTTAACAAAAACAGAAAACTCCACGATATGACATCGAACCACCCGAACTCCCCCCTGGATCCGCTCCTGTGCATGCAAAAATTCATGTGTCTAGCTCATGGGAAGATATTTTTTCAGATTTTTGTCCAAATGAAGGCCAAATGAAAACAAACTTTAACTTTATGACCTAATTACTCTGAACTTTGTTTCCAAAATCGGCCCGATTCCAACTACTCAAATGCTCACAACTTCCGAACGCATGTGACCTAGGAAGAAGATCTTGGTGTCAAAAATAACCAGAATTGAATGGTCTTTCTGGTAAATCTACTAACTCATAATGTCCGAATTGAGTTCTACGGCATGTTATGTTATGTTGTGTTCTCATACTTGTCGTGTGCACTACGCTGGATATAAGACAAGTAGTAAGTGCCTTCAGGGATAAACTAATAAACACAACGGGTGCATAATGATGATGTGAGTGCAATGCAACTGGTGTCCTCTGTAAAGTGGGTTTGCGTGCATGTGGGAGTGAAGCCTTGACTTAAAAATGTCAAGCGTCCGTTGCTTCACACAACACCACGGGTAGGTTGTTCCAGATTGGAATCATCCGGTGGGAAAAAAGAGAATTGAATGCATTGTTGTTGCAGTGCAGGTCCGAAATTTGTGGGGTTTTTCGATCTGGTACCTGACATCCCCGGGATCAGATATCTTATTCGCGGTATTGCGTATGAGGTGGTATTACAACCTTATACATCATTACACTCGAATTAAAGCGTCTACGATACATATAGTTGTTGCCACCCGAGTTGGTTCTTAAGAGCTGACGTACTGCTATATCGCCCATAGGTGTTTGTAAACAAATCTTGCAGATCTGTTTTGTATCATTTCTAGCTTATATATAATATTTCTCTTGGTGTGGGTCCACACTGCATGAGCAGTAATGCAGGCTTGTAGTACAAGAGTTTTGTAACGCTCTTTCCTTAATGCGTTGTGGCTGCAGCCCAGATTTTGGCGGCAGAAAAGCGTAAACAATCTGTTGGCCTTCACACATATGTTGTCAATGTGGACGTTCCACCTGAGGCACTGTCTAGCGTGACACTCCAAGATACGGGTTGATGTGACATACTGCAGTGAAGAGTCGTGAATGTGGTATATGAACTTATGATATTTTTTGCCAGAAGCGAGATATTCATGATGTAGCACTTGCTTGCGTTAAACTCCATCTGCCATGTTGATGTCCATTGTATCAGCTTGTCAGATCGTCTTGAAAGTGCTTCTGTCTTGCTGATTGCTAATCTCGCGGTACAACAGACAATCATCTTGCGACATGTGTCGAGTTTGGGAAGCAATGTTGTCTGGCAAATCGTTTATGAAGAGGAGGAATAGGAGTGGGGTTAGTACCGTTCCTTGTGGAACTCCTGAAGTGACAGCAGTCCAGTCCGAGAAGTCTCCTTCTACAACTACACGCTGGGTACGCTGAGTGAGAAAAGCTGTTATCCAACGTAAAAGCTTTCCACGAATACCGTAATGGTCAAGCTTCTGAAGAAGCCGTTGGTGTGGGACCTTGTCAAAGGCTTTACTGAAGTCCAGTATTATTACATCTGTCTGCTTCCTGTTGTTAATGCTGGTTGCAAGGTCCTGAGTTGTTATCAGCAGCTGGCTCTCACAGGATCGATTACTACGGAAGCCATGCTGGTTTTCAATTAGTAAATTTTTTCCTTCGAGATGATTTCTGACTTGGCTATTTATGATATGTTCAAGTATCTTGCTAGATATTGATGTAAGCGAGACAGGACGATAGTTACTCGGGACGCTCCTATTACCCTTCTTAAAAACTGGTGTGATGTTAGCCGTTGTCCAGTCTTTGGGAAGCTGTCCAGTATCGAGAGATTGCTGGTAGATGAATGAAAGGATAGGCGACAGGACAGGAGCTGCAATTTTCATTATTCTTGCTGGAATCTGATCTGGACCTGAAGCCTTGTCTGGTTTTATGTCTTGGAGGAGTTTCCGTACGCCCTTCTCCGTGACGGCTATGTCTGATATGTGTGATATGTCTGATGTCTATGTCTATGTCTGATCATGTTTTGATCTGACATGCTACTATTATGTACTTCTGTATATATACTCCTGTATTTAGTACTGCGAGTGTTGCTGTTCATGCTGTTACTCCAACGACTACTACCAGACAGTCTGATTTGGCAGTACTGCCGATGATGTTATTGTTGCTAGTGCTGCTGCTGCTACTGCTGCTACGGCCACTGCTACTGCTGCTGCTGTTGCTGTGGCGGCGGCGGCGGTATTAGGACTATTAGTGGTTGCGGCGGAGTGGCCATGCTTCAATTTATACGACGCTTCTACAAATTTGAAATCTAATAAATAGATGTTTTCACCCAATTCTCCTAAAAGTAGGCCTACCCCTAACCCAGACGTCACCCCAGTGTCTGGTTCTAAGGAAGGCTCTCAGCTTCCTGTTCTCAGGATCTCGGTTTAGTAGGTGAGGTAGTGGCACCCGTTTTAAGGGTAGTGTCAGGTTGCGTCGATAGATAACAGAAACACAGTATTATGAAAACTACTCTTCGTGCTTTGTTTTACGCCACAGAATATTCGTTACACGCACAATTCTACGATACTACATAGATGACTACATACACACAGAATCGTAACCGAATATCAGTAACCTCGTACCGTGAGACGTGGATCGCGAAGTAGCTCGGCAGGGGTGAAGGTGGAAGGTGGAAGGTAGACGGGGAAGGTGGAAAGGAGGAGTATAGAAGGAATAAGATCAGGAGCGCGGGCAAACCTGGACCATGCTGCGGAAAGGATGAGAGCCGAGTCGCTACCTGGGGACTAACCATCACAGATCGACCCTCGAGGCATTAGTGTACTCGGATGCTAAGGGGAGTTGTGTATAGTGATTACCTACGGCGTTCTATTATTATATATCACTTGGAGCGATGAGGTGTGTTGTTTATGGTGATTGCTTATGTGGGGCGGCTAGTGTAAGGCGGTATATTTAATCTCTGCGGGAGCGTGCGCTATCCTACGTGGTTGCCTCGCGTGATGCATCCACGCGAGGTGCACGCAAGGTCTACGCGAGGTGTGAATGTAATGCATGCATCGCGTGATGATTCCAGCGAGTAATAAACGACCTACACAATTATGGAGGAAACATAATAATAAATAATAAAGTCATGCGTTGTAAGAGTATAACGCAATCAGTCCGTGGAATGAAGGACTGCTCAATAAAAACACAAAGGAAAAAGACAGCTAGCAAAAATAATCACTCGATTAAGAATCTAAATTGCTACAATAATAGACAAAAAAGAGCACAACATAAAAAAGCAAATAAGAAACAATGATAGACCCACGCTGTGGCAGCAGGGACAGTTTTGTTCTTAGGGTACTAGTTACATATACTGTTTGCTCACAACTCGGTATGTATTAGCGATGTGTCTTAAAACCAAGTCAATAGTTACATAAGCCTGACGAAAGCGCTATAATTCTCGCGAATTATAAAATTCCCGACATACATATACAGGTTTGCTTCCAGAATGGAAGGATAATAACATGCGAACCTGAATTCATTTGCAACGTTCCGTGTGACTGGAGCGGCGCACACACAGGTGCCCGCGGTCCAAGGGCGTGCGCGTGTATACACTGCTCTGTCTCCTCCCCACACCGCACTGTGAATATCAGTGAAAGAAATACTGAGCAGTTGTGCGTGGAAGGTGAACCAGCCGCCTACAATATCTTCTGTATAAGGCGAGGGCAGGTGTATATCTTCTATATATAGCGTGGATGCATAGCTGCATGAGTGCCGCTGCTTCGTCGGGTGGTTTTAACACGCGAACACCCGCGTGCGCGTACTGGCGCGCCAAACTAAAGTTTGTTCAGTTACGAGTTGCGCGCGCGTCGGAGAGCACGTGTCCTCGCTCCCTGCTTACGTAGCCCACAAACCTGCTTACAGACGACAACGAGGTGCGAAGACGTCCATGAGAAGGTAAGACGTTATCGAGAATATGACATCAGCGTCAATATAATGCTAATAGTAGAGGTAATATAGTGTATGATTTACTTCTACGCGTGTAATTTACATAATAATATGTGAGGTATGTGAGAAGCTGCAACAGTTTTATGGATTTCCCATACCGCTTGCGGGTTTCTTGTGTGTCATAGTCGTATCGTGGCTCTAGATGAGAGTGGCTGGCGTGTTCTACGTTTATAAGTTTTTTTTCTCACATCTTACATATAAATATATATTGTACCTGTGATCATAGATTCGCTTCGTTTTGACACAGAAAATGGATACGCCCGTCATCCACGTGCTCTGCGGCCTTCTCCTCATGATAACTGTAAGTATGGAGGTGTGTTATCAGCGCAGGTATATCGCTATTAAAATTGTTAATATAGGTTCTAGCTATAGACGGGGTTTTAAGTGAGGTATTTGCACGGGCGCGCGCATGAACGCTTTCGCTCACGCGCAAGTGTAGCAGGTACGCGCACACGCACACGCACCCGCGCGCGTATTTTATATCTTCGTTATCGATACGCTAAGGTAACACACGAGTTGGTCTGTGCAAAGCTAACCGCGTTTGCATATATCGGCATGCCCACATACTCTTATACCGTGGTTAATATCACTCCTTGGCGCGCACATGCGCACATGATTCGCGAAGAGTAATGCTCAGCGTGCGGTTATCGGACCGTCGTAGGCGTATGATAATATTAGGAGTGTATATAATATATTGATATATAGATATCTTATACGCTCCTAATATGCAGCGAATTCGATGGCAATACGGCGTCTGTTTCTGCGCGCTGACACACATTTGTTACGAATTCCAGTTTAACACGCAGACCCATCAATCTTTCAGTATAGAGCAGCTAGAGCTACTTAAAAATGCTGAAGGCTATCGCTGAATAATACAGGCGCGCGCAGGAAGCGCTATACATCTCCTGTCCAGCGCGACGATTGAATCTGAAAAACGATCGCGTCATGCAGCCTTGCCGAAATAAAACGCTCACTGGGGCGTGCGGAATTATGCATTTACTCAAACAGCGCATTTTTCTCTGCCCCTGCGAAGGTGAAACAGCCTTTGTGCTTATGTAGACCTGTGCTCGGGGAATGGTAATGCGGTCCGATGCGCGCGTGTCGTGTGTGCGTGCGTGATCAAATCGCGCTAGCACGGATATAAGTGGCCCTATTAAAAAATTTAAGTCGCTACCACGGCAGGCGCATAGTCAAGGTCCCGCCTTTCATGTGTCCAGTGTGCATAGAACCTACTTCGGTTCTGGTAGGTGATTTCTGTGTTGAATTGCACAATAACTTTACTTACGTTCGCATCGAATATATTAGCTTTATGTATCGGGCTGTTCTGGCTTCAGGTAACGACATCACAGATTATTCTACCAAAAGGACCATGAAATGTACTTTCTGCTGACATGCGAAGAGTAAGTGTCGGATAACCTTTTGACCCTCAAGAGGAGGGTTAAACATGGATTTGTTTACTGTTAGAAAGAATTTGACTGCCGTGTTTGCTAGTAGAATCTATACATGCCTGGATGTATGAGGCTACAATGTCACAGTGAAACTTCAAAAGCTAAATTTGGTTGAAGAAGGTTTATGCTCCTTAAATCGTATAATTTCTATGGCATTCTGTACTGTCAGTGTGTTACATGTAACGTATGCCACTGCCAGTGGTACTGTGTAGTTTTTGCCTGCGTTAATTAGTTACAGGTGGCAGCTCTCTATTTCAGCCTGTAGGCTTGCGTAGGTAAATGGATGAGTGCTTATACCTATTCTGTCTTGCAAATAGTTGTTGCTACTACGTACGATGGGAGCGTTCATCTTTAATCTTGAGACACTTAAACGTACGTGCCATCTCGTGGCAACTTTCATAACGATCCCAACGAACATTCCTTTGAGAAGGTTCCTGATACCATCCCTGTGCCTTCCACTGTTTCGGCGTGTATGTGAACACATTTGGGACTAACAGGGTTTACTAGAATCCCACCACTCCACCACAGAATCACCGCAGTAGACGTTAGATGAGCGCTGTCGCTCCGCGGCACTTGTTAGTTACTTCTGATGGTATGAATTGTGTAGGTACTATGAGTATGTGCTACTATAATAAATTAGCCAGTCGGATCAAAACATACCGTAGGACTTCAATGTTCATTCTGAGTTATAGGTGATTTTTCACCTAAAAGTAGTAAAAGGCCGATTTTTTTTTGGTCATAAATACCTTTAGTAGTTATCCATGTTCGATGTTTCATCAATAAAACTGGCCAAAAGTGTGTCTTTATGTGTTTATTTGCGTGTCCAAAAAGTGCGGATTTTCAAAATATCGGTTTTTAGTGAATAAAGAACACCCTGTATTGTCTTACCTGTATAATTAGGCCTACCTGTATAATCAATAATTAGATGTAAACATTCAGAAAGCAAAGCAAGTTTTGAAATAGCAGTTTCATTTTCAGTAAACTTGTTAATTAATGAGATAAAGTTAATTTTTATCTAATAGCTATAGATTTTATGCAGATTATTAGTGTTTTAATTACCATAATAAATTACCTTATAATTACTTACCTTAACTGTAAGCTACCATTTTCGTACTTCATACAGTGGATGGTTACTATGTCTGGTACGTGCATGCAAACATGTATGTGTCTAGCTCTATGGGAAGGTATTTTTTCAGATTTTTGTGTATCAATTTCTATACAGATAATTAATGTTGTATTTACCATAATTAATTACCTGAATTACTTACCTTAACTGTAAGCTTATCTGTCATGAAGAGAATTTATTTCAGACGACAAGTCGGGCAGAAATCAGCTCCAAATCGCCCCGTGTAGGGTGGCTTTAAACAGTTAACAAAAACAGAAAACTCCACGATATGACATCGAACCACCCGAACTCCCCCCTGGATCCGCTCCTGTGCATGCAAAAATTCATGTGTCTAGCTCAATGGGAAGATATTTTTTCAGATTTTTGTCCAAATGAAGGCCAAATGAAAACAAACTTTAACTTTATGACCTAATTACTCTGAACTTTGTTTTCCAAAATCGGCCCGATTCCAACTACTCAAATGCTCATAACTTCCGAACCATGTGACCTAGGAAGAAGATCTTGGTGTCAAAATAACCAGAATTGAATGGTCTTTCTGGTAAATCTACTAACTCATAATGTCCGAATTGAGTTCTACAGCATGTTATGTTATGTTATGTTCTCATACCTCTACTTGTCGTGTCCACTCACGCTGGATATAATACAAGGAAGTAAGTGCCTTCAGGATAAACCTAATAAACAAACGGGTGCATAATGATGATGTGAGTGCAATGCAACTGGTGTCCTCTAAAGTGGGTTGGCGTGCATGTGGAGTGAAGCCTTGACTTAAAAATGTCAACGTCCGTTGCTTCCACAACACCACGGGTAGGTTGTTCCAGATTGGAATCATCCGGGGAAAAAAGAGATTTTGAATGCATTGTTGTTGCAGTGCAGGTGCGAAATTTGTGGGGTTTTTCGATCTGGTACCTGAATCCCCGGGATCAGATATCTTATTCGCGTATTGTATAGAGTGTTTACACCTTACTACATCATTACACTCGAATTAAAGCGTCTACGATACATAAGTTGTTGCACCCGAGTTGGTTCTTAAGAGCTGACGTACTGCTATATCGCCCATAGGTGTTTTGTAACAAATCTTGCAGATCTGTTTTGTATCATTTCTAGCTTATATATAATATTTCTCTTGGTGTGGGTCCCACACTGATGAGCAGTAATCCAGGCTTGGTATACAAGAGTTTTGTACGCTCTTTCCTTAATGCGTTGGTGCTGCAGCAGATTTGGCGCAGAAACGCTAACAATCTGTTGGCCTTCACCCATATGTTGTCAATGTGGACGTTCCACCTGAGGCACATCGCTATAGGTGACTCCAAGATACGGGTTGATGTGACATACTGCAGTGAAGAGTCGTGATGTGGTATATGAACTTATGATATTTTTTGCGCAGAAGCGAGATATTCATGATGTAGCACTTGCTTGCGTTAAACTCCATCTGCCATGTTGATGTCCATTGTATCAGCTTGTCAAGATCGTCTTGAAGTGCTTCCTGGTCTTGCTGATTGCTAATCTCGCGGTACAACAGACAATCATCTGCGAATAATCGAGTTTGGGAAGCAATGTTGTCTGGCAAATCGTTTATGAAGAGGAGGAATAGGAGTGGGCCTAGTACCGTTCCTTGTGGAACTCCTGAAGTGACAGCAGTCCAGTCCGAGAGTCTCCTTCATACAACTACACGCTGGGTACGCTGAGTGAGAAAAGCGTTATCCAACGTAAAAGCTTTCCACGAATACGTAATGTCAAGCTTCTGAAGAAGCCGTTGGTGTGGGACCTTGTCAAAGGCTTTACTGAAGTCAGTATTATTACATCTGTCTGCTTCCTGTTGTTAATGCTGGTTGCAAGCATCCTGAGTTGTTATCAGCAGCTGGCTCTCACAGGATCGATTACTACGGGCATGCGTGGTTTTCAATTTGTAAATTTTTCCTTCGAGATGATTTCTGATGGCTGTTTATGATATGTTCAAGTATCTTCGTCAGATATTGATGTAAGCGAGACAGGACGATAGTTACTCGGGACGCTCCTATTACCCTTCTTAAAAACTGGTGTGATGTTAGCCGTTGTCCAGTCTTTGGAACGCTGTCCAGTATCGAGAGATTGCTGGTAGATGAATGAAAGGATAGGCGCAGGACAGGAGGCTGCAATTTTCATTATTCTTGCTGGAATGCTGATCTGGACCTGAACGCTTGTCTGCGTTTATATGCTGCGAGGAGTTCCGTACGCCCTTCTCCGTGCGGCGTATGTCTGATATGTGTGATATGTCATATGTCTATGTCTATGTCTGATCATGTTTTGATCTGACAGGCTACTATTATGTACTTCTGATATATATACTCCTGTATTTAGTAGCTGCGAGTGTTGCTGTTCATGCTGTTACTCCAACGACTACTACAGACAGTCTGATTTGGCAGTACTGCCGATGAATGTTATTGTTGCTCAGTGCTGCTGCTGCTACTGCTGCTACGGCCACTGCTACTGCTGCTGCTGTTGCTGTGCGGCGGCGCGCGGTATTAGGACTATTAGTGGTTGCGGCGGAGTGGCCATGCTTCAATTATACGACGCTTCTACAAATTGAAATCTAATAAATAGATGTTTTCACCCAATTCTCCTAAAAGTAGGCCTACCCCTAACCCAGACGTCACCCCAGTGTCTGCGTTCTAAGGAAGACATCTCAGCTTCCTGTTCTCAGGATCTCGGTTTAGTAGGTGAGGTAGTGGCACCCGTTTTAAGGGTAGTGTCAGGTTGCGTCGATAGATAACAGAAACACAGTTTATGAAAACTACTCTTCGTGCTTTGTTTTACGCCACAGAATATTCGTTACACGCACAATTCACGATATACATAGATGACTACATACACACAGAATCGTAACGCGAATATCAGTAACCTCGTACCGTGAGACTTGATCGCGAAGTAGCTCGGCAGGGGTGAAGGTGGAAGGTGGAAGGTAGACGGGGAAGGTGGAAAGAGGAGTATAGAAGGAATAAGATCAGGAGCGCGCGGCAAACCTGACCATGCTGCGGAAAGGATGAGAGCCGAGTCGCTACCTGGGACTAACCATCACAGATCGACCCTCGAGGCATTAGTGTACTCGGATGCTAAGGGCGTTGTGTATAGTGATTACCTACGGCGTTCTATTATATATATCATTGGAGCGATGAGGTGTGTTGTTTATGGTGATTGCTTTGTGGGGCGGCTAGTGTAAGGCGGTATATTTAATCTCTGCGGAGCGCTGCGCTATCCTACCGTGGTTGCCTCGCGTGATGCATCCACGCGAGGTGCACGCAAGGTCTACGCGAGGTGTGAATGTAATGCATGCATCGCGTGATGATTCCAGCGAGTAATAAACGACCTACACAATTATGGAGGAAACATAATAATAAATAATAAAGTCATGCGTTGTAAGAGTAATAACGCAATCAGTCCGTGGAATGAAGGACTGCTCAATAAAAACACAAAGCGAAAAGGACAGCTAGCAAAAAATAATCACTCGATTAAAATCTAAATTGCTACAATACATAGACAGAAAAAAAAAAGAGCACAACATAAAAAAGCAAATAAGAAACAATGATAGACCACGCTGTGAGCAGCAGGAACAGTTTTTTCTTAGGGTACTAGTTACATATACTGTTTGCTCGCAACTCGGTATGTATTAGCGATGTGTCTTAAAACCAAGTCAATGTGTTACATAAGCCTGACGAAGCGCTATAATTCTCGCGAATTATAAAATTCCCGACATACATATACAGGTTGCTTCCAGAATGGAAGGATAATAACATGCGAACCTGACATTTG